ACAATTTAATAAATACGTTTATAATAAGTAATAAGTAATTTTCTCATAAAAGAAATGAATTATAATATTTGTATTAGTTGTTAATCTGACAATGTTCAAAAATTTTACTTTTTATTTGAATATTTTTACTTTACTATTAAATACAAGTTTTACGTTAAAATTACGATAAAATATAATTTCTGTATACAAGGCATATAGAATCACTATAATTACTATAAATTTAATGATATAATTTTGGAAAGTCAAAGATGTTGTTGCTGTAATATGAGGAATTAAAAACCAATACATTCATAATTCACAAAATTAATATCATATAGACGTGAAGTATGCAATTAGATAGAAACATGTAATTAGAAATGAAAGAATCATTGTGTTATAATAAAATGATATTAAGCTTATGTTCTTAAACGAATGATCATGATCTATGAATTAATTTACAAATTGTCAATGAATGTAAGATTATTGACTTTTTTTATAGTTAACTTTCCGTAATCTTTTTATGATTAAATATCTTTTAAAAAATTTAATTTTTGTGAAATTCTAGAGCTAACTTAACTAATAGAATAAAATTTATATGAAATTTAATTGACAAGAACAATTTTATTATTTCACAACATTTTTATTAAATCTTCAAAATCTCCTTATTAATTTAAATTTATATTGTTTATATAAAATTATAATCAATGCTACATTATAACAATGGGCGTTTTTCTTAATTTAAACTTTGTGGCTTTGTGTGTATTGCGTATTTTTGTTAATTTAAACTTTATGGCTTGCGGACATCGTATATATCCTATTGTATCATATATATACCTTCGAATCAGATAATCTATATGCCTTTTTACCATTGTTTCTTGAACAATCTACCTTTGATTTTTACAATGTATTTTTTCTTTATTCCCCTGCTTTTCCTTTCCGCGTCTTTAGGATGCGTCTTCCTGTTTCCTTTCATGGAAGTGGCGAGTCGGGGTATCAGAGAGAAATTCTGGGAGCTTCCTTATAGAATTGCTATACCGTCTGGAAGATAGTGGGGACCAGGTTATCGACTGTCTGGCTGAGAGCACGGTATGACCTTCGCGATATAAATCTCACACTCCGTAGAGTGCTGAGGATGTATGTGTCTGCTGAATAAATCATCCTGCGCATTGCGACATTATTAGCATTTTCGTAGAACAGTCAAACGATTTCCAAGAATACAAAAATCGGATCGACAAGACATATAAGTTAGTTATTTATGGTATTAGAATCGATAATAATTTTCATGCAGCTAGAAGATTGGTAATTTCTGGATTTATCTAATCGGAAGATATGTAAGGGCAGTTTGTTCTGCAATTTAAAAACAAGTGTGTGCAATCTGATTTTAGGTGTCTACGAGTTCGTGCCGCTGGAAAGCGGAGATGGCGAAAGATTGCAGATTAATGCACAGAATTGCATTCACTGTAAGACCTGCGACATCAAAGACCCGAGTCAGAATATCAATTGGGTCGTGCCGGAAGGTGGCGGCGGGCCAGCTTACAACGGCATGTAAATATATAAATGTTAATCGATTAATTCATTGATTGATCGATTGCGTAAATATTCGATGGTCTACATTGTTTTATCATTCAATATTTGAATCGCTTTTCGAAATGCATGGACATATCGTAATGTTTTTGATGGCAATGTTGTTTTAACAGTATAATTGTAGATATTGAAATACACTACGCGAATAGTGCAATTATTTCCCATTCGAATCAATCAATACAATTATACGGATTAATTTCCTGATAAAAACAAACGATCTATCTTTTCGTCCATGCTCGCGCATAGGTACATACGATTTATGACATTATATATTACATATCAATATACATATACAGTGTGTTAAAAAATGATTCAATACCATACCGAGTAAAAAAGTTTTAGTGAATAAAGCTAAAATTTAAACAATTTTGTATATTAACTTATTGTTTGTTTTTGTATCATAACTTATTGCTTTCTACATAACTTATTCTTTTATATCACATACGACGTGAAGATTTAAATTGTTTATATCTCAGAAACGATTCGGAGGTTTCGACCTATGATTACTAAGGCTTTTTTATTCAGCATATGATATGTATTATCTATCATATAATTATTGAATGGTTTTTTAATATTCTGTATATATATAATTTTTCTTGGATAGGAGAAATATTTCTAAAGTACTTGCATAATAATGTTATTGTTACTATTTTTGATAGAGTTTGTATAAATGATCAATTTGTATATTATATTATATTTTTATATACAGAAACGAATTATAATATATATATATATA